CCTTCTAACAGCACCATCCCTCTCTTTGCTTCCCTGATTTTCAAGCTCAGCTGACCATTTAATCTCAGTTCCTCAAATAGGAGCTCCTTAAATTCAATCTTCAAAGCTTTTTTCCAACGGCCTACCTCCACAAATTCTCCCATCTCAGTTCCTCACCCTCTCACCCTCTCACCATCTCAGACAATGGCAACAGACAAAAACACAGTTCCTCACCCTCTCAGCAACCCTCTCAGACTTCAGATCTGAAAGGTCGTACTTAATAAGATTTTCTCCCAGAGTCTTAACTATTCTGTCAAGGGAAATTTCCTTCCAGAGATTAAATAGGAGTCCTAAAAATCTTATAATAATGAAGCTCTCATGAAAAAACTCCAGCTAATTACAGGATAAATGTCAATGTTCAATCACTGCCGGACCATCCAAGGTCTCCACCAACTCAACATTTGAGAATTCAAATCTCCCTTCCCCAACATCAAGAATTGCTTTTCACTCCTCAAAGGAAAAACAGAAGCCGGACATTTGAGTGCAAGCTTTTTCATGATGCTCTCCAGAATCCTCCCCCAATCTGTAGCCTCTGTAGCTGCAGTAAGAACCAGCCTCTGTCTCCAATCCTCTTCTTCCTTGCTTAAAAACATTTTTTGTCTGCTGTTTGAACTAGCTAAAACAAGCTTCGAGCTCAAACTCACAGAATCATCTCCCTTTGAATCCTTTCTAGAGAAGTGTGATTTTTATAAAAGATGAAGCAATAAGTGATTCAGTTCTATGATTTTGGCAGAAAAAATTATTTTATCTGGTAGAAGATCAAGCAACAAGTGATTCAGTTTTGTGATTTTAGCGTTATTGAATGGCCCCCTTAGCCTGTAAAATATACTAGGTCTGACAAATGAATCAATAGATACCTGCATGTGTACTCTGTCTAGAATAAAGTAAGGTTGCAGGCTTGCAGCAGAGATTTGACTCGGAACATCTTGACCCCAAAATCTCTTAAGGAACACAAGCTAGGCAACTTAATCTAACCATAAGTTACCCAGTACATATAAGCATTTAAGCAGTAAATGAAGAGGAGAATGGAAATTGACCTTGGAGTCGACCTAGAAGAGCTCCACAACCAAATCCTCCAACAGCGGAGTTTATGAGATCACCAGGTTCTGAAGCACGGCTTGCTCTTACAAATTCACGGGCTCCTGTTGAATGCAAGAAATCATATAATTTTCAAGAATTGCAAGCATAGTTAGTTTGGAAAATACTGCAAAAGAATTTGGAACAACTTGCTTACATGGACCTACTATTTCAGATCTTCAGAACATTAATAACAACTACTTTTTTATCAATAATGACAACTACTTTACACATTTGAGTTTTGCCTACTCTTCCCTTCCTTTCTTTTTCTTTCTTTTTCTTTCTTCTTCTTGTTATTTTTTCTTTCCTTTTTCTTTTCTTTCTTTGATTTTCTTATTTTGCTACTGATTACTACTTAAACCAACCAACTGATATGATATTTGGGATGCAAGTCATTTGCATGGCGTTTGGTACTGTGGTTTTTAAGTCTCAAATCTCAACATTTGTAAAATAATTATAGCATTGGAAAACAGAAAGTAAGGTGTTTTGGCACATGATACAATGCACAATTGTTTATTGCAGTTTAAAATACACAAGTTCCATTAGGTGCCACTAGACACCACATAACATAACTGAAGTGGCAACACCCCCATGCACATAGCCTGATGTAAGGGGGCTGTACAAATGTTTTTTAACTTAAATCTGCCCAACCAAACATGATTTTGGTATTATGAAGTCAAAATTACTAAATGGTGCTTACATGGACTCTAAATGGGAATTCAACACCACGGTTCCAAATACCCCCATTGAAATGTGACCTTAACTTTTAACTAGCATTACAAGTAGTACAACATAAAGAGTCAAGTATAAGAAAACTTCATGTGTTAATCCTGAACCGAAAACAAACATAGAAAGGTTGCACCCATTTAAACCTCTAAATGCACTTTAATTGGATGTTCTCAGAGGTGTCTGAGGCTGAAATCCAAAAGCAAATGGGAGTGGTGCAACTTGTCCCAAAATGAACCAATAAATCACAAATATATATATATAGAAATACAAAATAGCTTAATTAATATATTTTTATAATCATTCTTTTTTGGTGAATGGCGTATTCATGAGATTTACTATTTGAACCTTGATGTTAGGATTTGCCTTTTATCCAAGTGAAATGTGATTACTCATGCTTCAGCATTTTAAAACTATGTCTAACTTATACGTTTCTAAATCTACATTAACAAAACAAGTCACGTTGGCCAGCATATATTTATCTAAAATTATGCCACAAATAAAGAGTCCATAATAAATGCCGTTGAATAAATTCCTAATCATGATGAATCCATGATCACATTGTTTATGACCATTTCATGATAAAAGTAAAATCAAGCTTCAATTTCAAGTGATCCGATTACTGGGCAGTCCATCACACAACGCAACCAGTGCCTACCAACACAACTCTCAAGCATAACAAACACTATCCAAAATCACCCTGACTTTCAAACTGCCAATACGAATACGGGTTACTTTCCTTTCGGCGTCTATCAGGTGAATAAACAAGCAACATCAAGCGAACCAGTAAATATACTGAAAAGTGCTTTCTGTGGGAAACAATTACCGCAGTAGCAACCAGTAACGATGGCAAAATTAGCAGCATAAGTTGTAGAAATGTTAGCGAGGCCACAAATTTTTCGATATTTGGATACCAAACCAGTTGCTCCGCCAACAACCCCTGAAAAATTCGAGAAAATCTTCAGAAAAAAAAGGAAAGAAATAAGATCACCCAATTCACTTAAAAAGAAAGATAAACGCATAGAATAAACGACTTCAGTATTTCAATAGATGAATATGTCCAGCTTCTCTTCAGCAATCGGTTTTAATTAAACAGGACTTACCGAATGCCTAAAGACATAAGCCCTAATAAAAGGGAATAAAATCGGACGGATTAGGTTTCACCAGTTCACCTGCGATGACAGTGGGTACGAAGATACGTTCCTTCCAACCTTCCGACGATGACTTCTTATGGATTTTGTCGTCTAAATCCATTTTGGTGCTGCTACTGCTCTCTCTCTCGTTCTCTTGGTCCCCTGATTGAAGCGTCTGCGTGTCGTTATAGAAAGGCTAGAGTGAAATAGAATGGGAATTTCGTCGAATCAGATGTAATCCCCAGTCCCAACCAAGCTGTTGAGTGGCACAGTAACTTGTAGGAATTCACATCTGTGCCCCACAAAGAGCGGACCACGAACGCTCCACATAACATTTCAACTGTGTATTGAGAATAGACCTGTTCATGGCCAAGTAGCCCGACGGGCCGGCCCGGCCCCCGGACGGGCTTGAACACACATTTGAGCCTGCGGGCTTGACCTTGGGCCTAAAAGCCCAAGCCCAACTATGTTGCGGGCCGGGCTCAAGATTTGTTAAAAAAGCCCAGCCCGACCCAACCTATAAGTTAAATAAAAAAACCCTAATATCCTAACCCCTCTTCTCATTCATCTCTTTCTTGTCTAAGCCAGTTAGCCGAACCTCTTCTCAGTTTTCACAGTGACTCACAACCTCACACTCTCAGGCAAACACAGAACCAGCGAACACTCACCGGCACAATTAGTAAATTCCGGCAGACCGGCGTGAGTCCTCTTTCTCTCGTTCCTCTTCTCAGTTCTCACTTCTTCTCTCTCAAATTTCAAACGGGAACTCAGGCACTGGCAAGGCGACGAACACAGGCACCGGCGGCGATGGTGAGTCATCTCTCTCTCTCTCTCTCTCAGTTGTGAACTCAGCACCGGCGAACACAGTCACTGGCGATGAGTCCTTTCTTCTGTTAGGTCAGGCTTCGAGCTTTTTATTAGGGTCGGGCTCGGGCCCATGTTGTAGGCCCATTGGTTGGGCCAGGCTCAGGCTTGGGCCTAACAAAATCTTGTTTATGAAGAGTAAAAGCCAGGCCCGAGCCCGGGCCAACTCGTCCCATGAATAGGTCTAATTGAGAACATGGGCCTTGCACATTTTAAGCAAGATTGAAGTACATGAAAAGAAGCCACTTCTCAATTGGGCCAAGCTGATCCAATTCAATGACATCTAACCACAAGTTTGGGTTATGTTCAGCTGATTGGATCATAGTCCAAGTTGCACCCGTTTGGAAGGGCTGAAGTTATGATTGAGTTAAGAAAGAATTAAAAGATGGTATTTTTGGCTGACAGATATTAAGAAATTATTCGTTTGCTCTGACCTCTAACTTTTGAAAGTGCAATAATTACATTAAGAGGTATGTTAGTATCGGTGAACTTTCTTTCCTCTTAACTTTGAACATAAATAATGCTATTCTAAATTCTAAAATTGTCAAATGTCCATTTTAGTCCCATATATGAGAATTTTTGTTTGTCTATGTAATTCAATAAAGAAACAATATTAAAAATTATTATAATGAATAATATCAATAATAATTAACAATAATTATAAATTAAAAGTATACAATAATTATTATTAATTATTCATAATTCATCATTACTTTTGTAATTAGTTAATTACTAATTATTATTAATTATTAATTTTATAATAATTAATTAATATTATTAATTCATAAATAATTATTAATTATTAATTATTAATTAATATGAAGCTTTAATTATTATAATAATTCATAAACAATATGTAATGAATAATTAATATTCATTATTAATTGTAAATTAGTAATCATTTTTATAAATATTAATTATAAATTATTCATTATAATAATTATTATTAATGAATAATTACTGTAATAATTAAAAATGATTCATTAACAATAATTAATCGTTAGTATACTTATTAATTATTATAGTAATGAGTAATTTATAATAATTATCATAATCATTAATAATTTATATTAATTAATAATTCTTGATTAGTAATCATTTTTATAATCAATCATAATTAATTATATATGAATATAAGAATTATTATTAATTAATAATTAAAAATTATTCATTAACAATAACTAATCATTATTATATTAAAATAATTATTATAATTTCTTAATTATTATTGTAATGAATAATTTATAATAATTAATTAATCATTAATAATAATTACTAATTAATATTGAATTAATGATTCTTTAATAATTAACAATTCATACTTATTAATTTCTATTATAATACTATAATATTAAATTTCTATATTATAATATTAATTATTATGACAATATTATTATAATGTTATTACTATTACAATATTAAGGATTATTGTAATTAATATTATAATTAATGAATTTACTAATTACCATTAGTATTTATTATTTGAATTAATAATATTCTTTACATAAGTAGTAATTGTGTGCTAAATTACCGTTTTTTAAATAATTGTAACAACTTGACTATTTCATTAATAATTAATTTATTATTGATTTTTTTAAATACAAATTTAAAAATTAGGAAAAGACTAAAGAGTCATAATTAATTAAAACTTGTTATGTGTAAAGAGTATTTATTTAAACAGTTATCTACTAATTATTTCAACTAATACAATTCACACTATAACATAAACGATCCATGTGAGGTCAAGTTGCCACTTATTTGAACATTTCGTTTATTGATTCACGATCAATATCAAAGACCTCAGAATAATCCACCATATTTATTGAAAAATTGCAAGCTTGATTCGGGAATGCAGAAGCACGCAAATGTTTCTGTTTTTTAAAATTGCATAGTTTAGAATATATACAAATTTTATATGTATGTGATACAAACTCTAATAAAATAAATATTACCATAAGGTAAGCCTCCCATTGTTCAAACATCAAATGAACTTTTCTAGTCTCTAGGTTGAATGCACCCCCAACTACTTCAATCAAAGCCATCTATGTCCGGTATTAGCACATCATATAATCATTTTGGTGTTTCAACTACCTTTGTTCTAATTTGACATAAAATGTTTCTTCTATTTGGACAACAACTTCTATCCAAGATTGTTTCCTTATAGAGAGACCATACATACCATGTGTTGTTATCTCTTCTATATCCTTATCCAAGAAATATTTTATTGCACCTTAGTTATACATAATACCACTAGGGATGGCAACAGGGCAGGGCATCCCCTCCCCATCCCCGCCCCGTGGCTAAAATCCCCACACCCGTCCCTGGTATCGAGGTAAAGATTTAACCCCCATCCCCGGCCCGTCGGGGATGGGGAATCCCCGATATGTACTCGCCCCGCAAAGACCAAGAGGACACTAAGAGAAGGCTTGGAGATGCGAGTTTGTATAGGGGTTGCTGTTGTGACAAAAGTGTCCAACCATCACCTCCTGTATCCAACCATTGTGTGGTGACAGAAGCATCCAACCATCACCTCCTATATCCATTAAAGAGTGAAGATTGATGTGTGTGCATGCTACACATTATTTTGATTGCTCTCTACATGGTTTTGATGGTAATTCTTAATGGTTTTTACCCTAATTGAGCAAGATTTCAGGAAACTAGGAGTTTGGGACAGTCTAGGGTGAAGAGAGCGTGAAGACATGTTGATATGGCAGAAAGGGAAGCACTTTGGCCCATTAAGAAGAAAAGCCCAGCCAAAACCCTATGGGAGAACACTTCGGCCCACCAAGGAGAGAGGCCCAACAGCAGCCCAACCACAACCCTAAGAGAGGCTCCAAAAGGCGGTTGACTTTAGAGAATTGAAAAAAGAGAGAGAGGAGGAGTATAAAAAGAAAAGGAGAGGAAATTAGGGTTCGACCCCTTGAGACAAAAATCAGAGAGGAGAAGAGCTAGGAGAAAGATAACAAGGCTGTTGAATGCGAATTGAAGAGGAGATTGAAGATTGATGCAGAAATCCTAGGTTGTCTTCTTCTTTGATTCTGCGAATTTGGTAACCTAGATTCAAATAGGGTTTCATGGTTTTTCTTTGTTGAATCTTTCTTTCTTTCTATTATTCGAACCATGATGGATGTTAATTCAGATTTGTAATTAATATTTTAAGTAGATCCGATTGATTGTGATTCATTCTTGGGATTTCTTGATTAGGGTTTTCGATTATAAGAGTAATCTTGGCCGAATTATTCTTGTTTCTTGGATTACTTGAATTGTTTGAGAAAGGGTTTAGGTAATCAGATCAACTAATCAAGAAAACTGATTGAATGTATCTTAGAGATAATATGCATGATTTGTTTAGCATTCATTTAGCAAGAACTGATTTCCTTTGAATTCTTTGTCCTTAATGCATCTATGGCGATTAAATTCTTGATAGAAATATAGGAATTGTTGCTCATAGATAGAGTGGGTTGTGCTCGAGAGAGGCTGCTCATACAATTAGGAATTAGCCAACCCATGATTGAATTCACTTTGGTTGGACAACTTAATGATTTAATTGCTAAATCGGTTCTGCTAGTATTTGCATGTAGTAATTCTTCTCATCATTAAAGGCGGTTTGATCCGAGAATACTTAGGGTAGTTTGCTAATTAGGAGTTAATTTTTTCTTTGTTTAATCTTTCGGATTATCAGATAACAAAAGGCTGATTCAGTACTAGTAGTTGTTGGATCAATCCCCGTGGGAACGATACTCTACTCATCATTATATTACTTAATCGGCTAGTGCACTTGCTAGTGTCTTCTAAACGCATCAAAGATCAAAGAACAGAGGAAAGATTGGGAAGTTTGTTGCTATAGTGGCGACGACACCTGGCGGTCGACAAATGAACGGAGAGCAAATAGAGAGATGAAGAACTAGGCTATTAGACATGGGACTACACATTAAGTGGATTTTAAGTACTTATGGGTGTTTGGTAAAAAGGGGGTAAGAAGTACTTATTGTTAAAAAAAAAGTACTTCTTAAAAAAGTGACATGGATGTTGCTTTTTTTTTTAGCACTTTTTGAAAAAGTGCTTCTTCATTCGAATGGGACAAACCTGTCCCTATTTTTTTCTTTAATGACAAAACTACCCCCACTCAAGTTTATGATCTTCTTCTTTCATTCGAAACCCTACAACAACAGGCAACAGTGGCATTTGGTTGCAGGTCCATCGGCGACGTTCAACGGTGAGCAAAAAACAGCCGACAGACCTACCGTGAGGCTGCCCTGACATATTACGAAGGTGGTTTAGATGAGGTGAAGCAGCTGGCTAAGAAGTTCTTCGAAGCCATGGACTCCAATAGAGATGGGAAGGTCAACATGAAGGAGTTCGAGGATTTCCCGTGGAGGAGCACAAAATGTCGCAATTATAA